TAAATAACTAACATATATAATATAAGAGATGGAATAATATGGAAAGACGTATTAGGTATTAATAATGCGCAGACCAACTTTTAGTATGTAAATATAATTGTCATTAAAGATAATTAACGTATGTGGTATGGTGTACGTATGAAGATGATGCAGTTATAATACTGTGGGATAATTTTCAGGATTCTATAAGTTATTTCAGGTAACTTTAGGCAGATTTGCTATTCTATTGTGTTCCTTAGCTATCTTACAAACATGGTTAGAAAATGAATGGGAATGACATATCCGAACGTTAAGTCACGTCACTGTCACGTGGCTTACCGTTCATTCCATTCACAATACAATGTACGATGTTATCTTGACTAACCCTGTAGGAATGATTTCGCCGTGGGTAACGGTGAAAGAGAATCGCATCTCACCCGTCTACTGCGTGCGTGTGTCATATGAATCGATTATAATAATCCAGATCGGTCTCCGATTTTGTCAAATTATAGGTGTAAATATTTTGCAACAAAACATTGTAAAATATTCCCACCGGCGCGGCGACAAAACCAGTAAATAATATAACAATACAACAAAGTACACACAACGTCAGGAACATATTTTCTAGCTATAGCCGTGTATTTCGGTATTTTGATATTTTCGAATAAGAAACAAGAGAGACAAGGTGAATATTAAGATTCGCTGAAAAAAAAACGTTCAGCACTCTGTTGTAAAATAAATTGCGCAGTTAGTGTATTATATTAAGCATATTGTTAAATAATAACGTTATATATATATATATATATATATATATATATATATATATATATATATATATATAATGTATTTTGATACATATCGTACCAACAGAAATTAACACAGAAAGTTATTAAAAAAATTAAATAGATGTTATGTTGTAGTGATTACAAAACCCAATAAGAAAAAATCCCTTGTCATTTGTCGCAGTTTTAACAATCCGAGTAATTAATATAATAGAAACAAAACAGAGCTAACTGCCAAATATTTCGCGGCGAATTCTTTCAAAGTAGCGAGAATGAGCGACGAGCGATGCACAATTCGCATGACGTCACGGCCAGGTTCCACAGGCACTCGGAAAAGGAGAAGACCTGCATCTAGGGCAGACGACATCACTCGAGTCGCAGGCAAAAACGGCAGAAGCCAAATACCGAGAACGCTGGCGTTCTCTGAGGAGGCCTTCACCCTCACTACTTGAAGGGTTGAGAAGGTGAAGGGCATGGTGTTTTTTATCTTAAATCTTTATTCTATTTTGAATCTATAATTTTCTTTTTTTATTTTTATTTTCATTTTATTTCCATTTTTTCATTATATTAAAAACAAAAATTATATGTATATTAAAAGTGAATGAATTATAAAATATTAAATGTAATTAGCATTTAATATTTAATTTAAAACATAATTAAAACCAGAAATAAAAATAAATATGTAATAAAAATACAACTATTAACTCTTGAGATAATAACAAAAGCAATGTAGCAGTCCTTTTTAACTTATTATATTGTTATTATCAAAATATATTATTAGAAGTAAATGTTATGTGCAATGCATGATATAAAAAATACCTTTTAATTTTTATTTTTTATTTTATTGTATAGGTTAAGGTTATACGTTCTAGAGTGAGCTGTTTATGGGCCGATAGCAACGATAACAACAAGATTTATGCGTGAAGACGGTATAGAAAAAGTCTAAGACGAAGCCCAATTATTATGTTTCATGTTTTATTCAATAGCGCTTTTTTATTCCACTGTTGGGTGTAGACTTTAACTTGTGGTAGATCCGCGCTGCAGTTGTATTGTAGCTACTAAACGACTAGTCGGAACTGAGGAAGAACCACGATCTCACAGAATACCAACATATTGCTACTATGCTTCGTATGGTGAGTGTAGGAAACTGAAGAACCATTTCCCTGACCACGAAGCATTCCATATTAGTTCTCAGAGGTGCCAACGCACCTGCATATTAATTCTCAAACGTTTATAGATGTTAATAAACAACACTTCGTTTGTAAATTTGCAACTTCAATTAAATAGGTAATTACAAGTGGAAAGTGATATAAGTTTTCCAACGGCCTTTACTTGTAAATACGTCAAAGGACTGGACAGCAGGCGGTTTCACAAGCGGTTAAGATATCCGGGCGGCATTTAGTCCAAACAATACAAATGTATTTCCTATATTCTCCCTGGATAATGATATTATAGCAATTTTTAACGATACAATCAACATACACTAATGCTATATCCTATATTCTGTTTCTTAAATAAATTAAATATCATTTATATTTGTATTTTTACAAAATTAAAGTCTAGCGATATTTGAGGCAAGACGATCAAAACTGAATGATAAATAAAAGTGCTGGAAGATCTGAAATTCCTTCTACTAATATTCTTATTGATCGAATCGAATCTAACAAACATCACTTTGGCGGGGTTAGGGAGTCTCGTATATTAGTGTTATATGTCTCGCCTAGGGAGTATCGTATGGTGAGTGTAGAGAACCGGAGACACTTTTACTGGAAATGAGGCATTCCACCTTTGTCCTCAGGGGTGGCAACGCATCTGTATCTTGATTCTTAATCAAAGATTGATGTAGGTTTCTATTGGTAACAACATCTAGTTACCATCAGGTGGACTATATCCTTGTTTGTCATCCTTGTTCTATTAAAAAAACGTGAAATCACTTTGAATCTTATTAAATTTACCTGTATCGCATTCAGCAGCTTAGCGCAGTCTGATGTGCCGTAATACTGCCTCGTGCCCGTCTCGACGACTATCACCTGACTTGCATTTGTTGAAGGTCTCTGGGCAAATGTCTGGATCTGGTTGATCTCATCCCATTGAAAACGGCTCACCATAAGCACCGGCGGCTCGACTGGCGGTAGAACGTTCTCTGTAAAATACATGTCCTTGCATGTTAATATTTATTTTCATGCTGTGGTCCATAGACATCCACATCTATCCTCGATTACAAATCAAAATGCAGATGCGGTGTCACCCGTGAGGACTAAGATGGAATGCCTCGTTTCCAGTAAAAAGGGTCTCCGATTTTCTACACTCACCATACGAAACACAGCAGCATTAAGCTGCTATTTCACGGTGGTATTCTATGAGTGCGTGGTCCTTCCCCGGTCGAGCCGACCCATTCGTGCTACAACTATACTACTAATATAACTGAAGCATGGCTCTACCACGTATAAAATATACAATATAATATACAGTCTACCGCTGCGAAAAGATACAATTTGTAACAAACTATAAATATTTAGGGTTTGGTTATAGATAATCGTTTCTCATGGGACTTGCATGTTGAATTAGTATTTAACAGGATTAGGGCAGTATTAGGTAAACTGAATTATATAGAATATGTTGTGAAGCGAGGAATAATGTACATGCTGTATTATGCCCTAGCAGACGCAACGATCGGATATGGCTTAGGTGCATATGGACTTACATTCTACTATGCAGATAAGATTCTTAAAGATATTAGGTGATCATGAAACGAAAAATGCTCTAGATAAAAATTATGAAATGTTACTTAAAATTTGCAAAATAATTGCCATAGACATGAAAGTAAAATCCATCATCATATTAGAACAGCATGGTATGGTAACATTTAAGAAACCTAGGACATATATAATGCCGAAGTGCCGAATTATTCAAAGGAGGAAATATCTCATACCTAGGGCTGAAAATTACTTTGGATGGCAATGGATAACTCCAACTTTGTGTAATGAGGTAGCGGATATATACGACGAAAGCGTAACTAAGTAGCAGCTCAAATCCATCTTGAGGAAACATTATCTGTCGTTGTGTCTATAGTGGCGAATGCTTCTTTAATTATTTATGTATTAATTTAAGTATTTATAAGTACCAGATATTGTTATTAAGGAGTGTGAAACGATAAACTGTTGCGTTGCCGACAAACTGGCTTACTTAGTTTGGCAAAATTTAAAATATAAATAATGTGCACTCTTTATAGGAATAAAAAAAGATACTAATTACACACTCAATTAAAGATATACATCGCATGCTTCAAGTTACATATCTATATTTCGGAACAATGCAAATTTGTCAAAAAAATCCAAGCGCCTACACAAACAACATGACGTCATATCTAGGAGTCCTAGACAGAGAAACAAACTAGTGCTACCAACTTCAAAACTAAAATCTCATTCTTCCAGCCCATTTGCCATGTCTATAAAAGTATATAATAAATTACACGAATATATAAAAACATTAAAGACGGAAAACCATTCATAAAAATTAAAGCAAGTACTTATAAACCAGTGTTACTATGGTACTTCTGAATTTTTAGAAGATAAAAATATAATATAGATATGTAAATATAAATATGTTTGGTAATAATGAAATGCCATCCTACTAAATAAATTACAATATAAAATTGTAATAAAATAAAATGTTTCAAATAATTTAATAAAAATTCGACTGTGCTAATTATAATTACTATAATAATACCTTAAGAGTCAAATTCAATTCAGTAATAAATAATAACAATTATAGTAACCTTATTTCAAATTTAATGTGTGTATGATAAATGTTAATATTAAATAATTATTTAATAATAACAATACTAAAACAACTAACAATAAATAAATGTTCCTCCTTCATAATATTGCTGTGCCCATCAGGGTCTATAGATACCATAACAATGGGCTTACGAGGAATTCGTAACGGAACTTTAAAATTGATTTCATTAGGAGTGCAGAACAACGCAACTGATATCTTATTATAATTAAAAAGAAGGATAGGTGAAGTAGATCCCTAAGGTTGTCCAATCCAAGGGAATCAATCGCATTGATTCCCCTTTTCTAATTACCTACTTAGGATTTGTTAACAGGAACAAGGTATGCTACGATAAGGCTGGCATATCCTTGTATGATAAGTCTTTTAAATAAAGATAGATAATAAAAAATTTGATATTAAATTAAACATATATATTTAACCTGATCTGTTTTGGATAACCAACTAATATATGCCCACTACAATTCCCGCGAAGAGAACTAGAAAGAGTAGGGTGACGAGCACGGTGGTCTGGTATCTTTGTTCTTCTTGTATTGGTCTTCTTGGAAAACGCTGCAGGAGCGGCGTCGCCTCGGAAGTTCTGGGTTCATCTTCGGCGCGATAGGAGTTGGTACGTGACTCGTGATCTGTAAAAGTCAATTATTGTGTTACATAGAATATGAAGTTAATATTTTACTCTGGCTGTATTTAATTAAAATAATTTTTAACGTTAATTAAAACCGTACAACTGAGCCATATTATTATCATTCAGGTTATATGTATCAATCATGTAACACACTGATCTAAAGTTTTTTTTATTATGCGATCATGTTCCAATTTAATAGGCATATTTAATGTCACTACACGCCATTATATCCTGCATACTGTAACTTATCTGCTTGATATGCCAATTTTAATACAACATTTAGGTACCCAATTTGTTACCTACCACAGCTTATGATAAATTATTGGTTTTAGTTTATCAATCTACAATGTAAGTTAAATAATTCCTCTAGTAGACGAAGACTAGTAAAGTGCGAGTCGGGCTAACTCTATTAGGGTTCCGTATTTGTACTAGAAACATAATATACTAGATACATATACCTAGCACATTCACCGGGTAATAGCGGTTTAAACGTTCACTACCCAACATCATCTCTCGACTCGTGGTGGGGACCACGAATTTCATCTTTGGTATGCTTCGTTTTCATTAAAAAGGTTCAAGGTACACCATTCTTATGAAACACAGCAGCATAAAGTTGCAATTTTACACTGATATATTAAAGTTACAGCCTATATAAGCCCCACTCCTGGACACAGGCCTTCGCTCTCTGAGAGGGTGTTAGGGCAAGTTATTGTCCACCGCGCTGCCCCAATGCGTGTTGGCGAACTTCACATGTCTTCCAAATATTTTTTTCTTATTTTTTAGACATTCACAAACAATTTACCGGAAAAATAAATGTGATCAAATTGACCTAATAGTAAGAAAACATTACTTTTATAATTATGCTGAAAAAATTATTAGCATAGACAGTAAACAGTGTTTATTAAATTATTAATTAAAAAGGGTTTAGTACAATACATTACATAAAATATTCCGAATTTGGGTTCTAAGAAGTATATAATTTCCGAGCTAGACACCGCAATTACCCGTGAAAGAAAAATTAAAAAAAATAGTTTGTTTTGGCCACAGTTTACAAACTGTCAATCGATGTTTTTGCAGTATTAGTTGTTTAAAAGTAGTACATGTAGTATAGTACACTTTTTATGTTCGTGATGGTACATAATATTCAGAAATTTTGAAAACCTACGTAGCTTGGTTTTTGAGAGAGGCCACGCAACAGTAACGGTTTTAAACTGGCCACTTTCACGGGCTATATTTTTATTTTATTTTTATTTATATTGGTAGAGACAATAACTCTGCACATGCTAGTGAAATTTATTACGTAATATTTATTTTATATACGTATATTTTAATAAAAGTTTATAATATTTACATGAGAATTAAAATTCTTACCTCTATATAGTATCGGTTATTCATAAAACATCACATCACAGTGTGCATGCAAATGAATATAGGTCTGTTAAACTGACTATTTTGTTTTGCATTCCACACTAACTTCTAGTGTTGTGATATCGAATATTGCAAGAAATCACACAAAAATATTTAAAGCAAATATTATGTAACTTAGTAACATATCCTTCAACCCAACAACATAGATAAATATTAGAAATATGTGTTTCTATTATAATATCTATTATTCAAATTTTAAACCAAAACGCACTGGAACAGCCCGGAGGATATTACCTTGACATAAGAAAACTTCTTATTAATGAGAGAAGACCTGAGCTCTGGAGTAGAATGTACCTGTATAGACTGTAACTTTACCTTTTATATATTACAAATAATAATGATTATTTGTTTTATAGTGTAACTACATATTTTTTTGTTTACTTTAAACTCTATACAAATAAATGAAATTGAAGTGTCGGTTTGTCAAGTCAAAATAACAGTTTTTTACTAAATGCATATGAAATAATGCACGCTACTTATAACTATAGAAAAAATTAAAATTTTTGTCTGTCTGTCTGTTTGTTCCGGCTAATCTACAAAACGGCTGGAGTGATTTTCACTGGCAGATAGCTGATGTTATAAAGAGTGACTTAGGCTACTTTTATTTCAGAAAAATAATTAGGATTTCGAGCAAAACAATTAAAACCCATAAAATCCAATCGTAATACAATCTACGCGGACGAAGTCGCAGGGAGTAGTTCCTATGAAATATTATTATTTTTATACGTGGTAGAGCCGTGCTGCAGTTATAGTAGAAGTATAGTTGTAACACGAATGGGTCGGCTCAACCGGGGAAGTACCACGCTCTCACAGAATACCAGCGTAAAATGGTAGCTTAACGCTGCTGTGTTTCGGATGTTGAGTGTAGAGAACCTTAGACATTTTTTACTGTAAACGAGGCATTCTATCTTAGTCTTCACAGGTTAAAACGCATCTGCATTTTGTTTTACTTTAAAAATGTAAATTAAAAATATGTTTTTACATTAAGTATTGAAGTTAACCTTTTAAGTTGCCTTTGTAGCCTAGGAATCCATGCTTACTGTTAGTTTACTTGGCAGCTTCCCTCTCTTTCTTATATTTTTACTGCTAGTTAAAAAATCATAATAAAAAGAATTAAATACCATACTAAAGTATTTACTGGTACTTAAAATTTTGAATGTTTAGTTGGTTTTTAAAGAAGTAAATGCCATTTTAAAATTTGTTTAAGTACAATATTCATTTATTGAAAGCTATTAAAGTTCCCTGCACAACACAGGCTTCCAGAATATAGGCGTACAGAATATCTCATGATGGGGACATTTGCCACAGTTGCCATGCTTGGTGGCCGGTGGCCGGGCTGGCAATTGCAGTTTTTTTCTTCTATTTGTTATCCGTAAGACGCTATAGCCATCTCGTGATTTATATCCCTCGGTCACCTCTTTCGACACTCAAGTGATGTGGAAATTATTAACATTAACGATTTCTAATAGTAGGGAAAGGCACACATTTTGTGACCACGGTTTTAAAGTTTTCTTTTTATAGGATAGGGTGACAAACGAGCACACAGTTCACCTGATGGCAAGTGGTGCTGTGGCCCAAAGATATCTATATATATTGGCTCAATTTACATTGCGGCGGAATGGAACGGAACGGAAGCGTCAATGTCACCGCGACGCGCTGCAAGGCGCACGAATTCACCTTCAGCCTATACGACAGTCGCCTTGGGGCTGTACAAAATTTAGTCTAGATTCCACGCCCTTACGGGCACTTCGAGAATTCCTCGGAAGACGCGAGACTTCTTTTTTGGCTCATATCTAGTTTGCGCGTTACACAATTAACATAAAGACTTATTTTACTATGTACAATTTCGTTACAAAAATTCGCTTCCATTCCGTTCCGCAGCAGTGTAAATTGAGCCATCCTCAATTACGAATCAAAATGCAGATACGTTGTCACCTGTGAGGACTAAGATGCAATGCCTCGTTTCCAGTAAAAAAAGGTTTCCGGTTCTCGACACACCATACGAAACACTTGTTCTGGGTCTGGATGTTTGTCTTTGTGAAAGTTACGTATGTAAAATGCCCCCACGATACAGTAGAAAAACCTAATATGGAGGTAATTTTTATAAATAAAAAAACTTTTTCCTCATTATATGAAACAGCAGCATTATTTTGCTGTTTCGTGCTCGTATTCTGTGAGAGTGAAGTATATGTTGAGTGTGGTTACCAAAAAAAAAAACATTTTTAACAAAAATTTATATGATAGGTGCAGCCTGCAAAGTAACAGAGGACCATCATCACATACAATATAAAGAGATTTGTGAGTGAGATACTTTATTTTTTTTATTGAATTAGGTACACAAACAGACAGTAGTTATATAAACGTCTAAAATTAAAACTATATTTGTGTTGATCTAAACTACAATCCAAACAAGTGTACACAGCATAATAATATAACTGCAGTATAATATTAGTCTTAGCAAAAATAAAACAGATAAAAATACATTAAATGTTAAGAGCAACACGTAAATTTCTTTCAAATCTAATCATGGCACAATGACAACAGGGTTGAAAAAGGAAGTGTTATTCTTGTGTATGTCTAACCTGAAAATTCTTTGAACACGTTGTTGTATACTGGAATTGAAGTTAATCAGCCTTAGTAACTCTGGGCTCTATTCGAGAATGCACAATCTTGTGCAAAAAAACTTGGTCGGCAAATTGTCTCCTCAAAGATAATCGCTGGACATTAAAAAACTTTAGTCAAGAGTTGTATGATGGTAGATGATGCAAGTGACCATATCTGCCACAAACACTGCGAAGGAAACAACTCTGCACCCTCTCAATACTGTCATAATGTACCTTATAAAAGGGTGACCATACAGTGGAATTATACTCCAGTACAGAATGAACTAAAGTATAAAATAATCAAAATGATGCAAGAGATTTGGAGAAATTTTTCGTTACACAAATTATAAACCCTAAGGCTTTGAAACTTTTTGGCTTTTTTTTTTTATAGGATAGGGTGACAAACGAGCACACAGTCCACCTGATGGTAAGTGGTTGCTGTGGCCCATATACATCTACATCTATCCTCGATTACGAATCAAAATGCAGATGTGTTGTCACCCGTGAGGACTAAGATGGAATGCCTCGTTTCCAGTAAAAAGGGTCTCCGGTTCTCTACACTCACCATACGAAATACAGCAGCATTAAGCTACTATTTTACGCTGGTATTCTGTGAGAGCGTGGTCCTTCCCCGGTCGAGCCGACCCATTCGTGCTACAACTATACTACTAATATAACTGCAGCATGGCTCTACCACGTATATTGGTACGTGGTAGAGCCATGCTGCAGTTATATTGGTGGATTATGACGAAACGAAAATTTTGAATCGAAATATACGCCCAAATCCTTAACAATCTCCTTGCGGGTCAAAGGCTGACTACTGATATTGTATTTAAAATGCAGGTAATTATTTTAGTAGTGAAAGTGATAACTAATACTTTGCAAAGATATGGCGATACTTCACACCAGGACAGTTGCTTATACCATAAAGAGTATTAGATTGTGCATGGAGTGGCATAGCTAGCTTGTACCATGTCTTTTTAAGGTCCCCACATAGATAGAGCTGCAATCACACATCAAGACATGGACATAATGGGATACAATTAGAGGAATTACAACTAAATTACAGTGACTGCAGATTTCACATTAGTGAATATTATATGCCTAGGAGGATGAGTACTTATGTAAAAGTGTAAAGCACTTCAGTGTAAAAGTGTATATCATCATTACATGTCCTCTACTGAACATAAGCCAATCAAGGAATGCCACAAAACACTGTCCTGAGCGACCTGCATCCATCAACTTCTCCCATTTCTTACCAGGTCATCACTCCATCTACTGGGGGGTTGGAATAACCTACATTTCGCTTACTAGCATGAGGCTGCCATTTGATAAGCTTTCCCCCTCATCCATTGTCGGTTCCTTGAGATATGACTGGCCCATTGCTAGGGTTGGCATGATTAAAACAAGTTGAAAAAAGGTGTTTAAAACAGGTTTTAAAATATTTTGAAATAAAACTTGGTTTTTTAATAATTGTTTAAAAACACAGTTTATAAATATTGCTTAAAATAATGTAAAAAATATTACAAAAAAAAACAGTGTTTTTATAATTACATTTAAATTTTCTAAATGCAAAAGAATGGAAGTAAATGAAAACAAATTAATTAAGACCCAAAATAGCTTGAAATAAATTTACAAGTTGAGTTCATGTTGTATTTTTCATTTAAATTATGAATTATGAGAAAAAGTTGATTTAGAAATTGTAATTAAAACATTATTTTAATACAAGAAATTTATTTAATCAGAGGCAAACAAAAAAGAGATTTTTTGTCATTTTAACTTTTCCCTAACCCATTATTTTTGTATAGAATGTAACCATATCATTGGGAACCATTTTTAAAATTTTCATTTGTGTGTATGCTCGAGGTAATCTTCGGAATTACTGAACTGATTGCAATTAAACTTCACAAAAAATAATGAGTAATACCAAGAGTGACCAAGCATAAATATTTTCGAAAAATTTAAAGATTTTATTAAAATAGAAATATTGATGATAAATGACAATATGAAGATAAGTTAAATCATCTTTAATGATTGTCTTATGTTGTCAATTAAATCCCCCAATCCCAAGCTAGTACGGGTCGCTAGTTATAAATGTTATTTTAAAATAAATGTACCAACTTGCATTTACAATTCTTTTTCAAGATTTTTCACTATTAGCGGGTTTTCTGTGGGTACTGTGCTTGTTGACGGTATAGCGTTCTTTGTCCATAGGAACTGTAATTACTAATATTTATCAAATTTTTATAGGTACTTAATTGGTTTTGAATATGAATGTAGCGTGACACATATGTGTATGGTGATTGCTGGCTGTGTGATATAGAATATTGTAGGTTGATAAATTATTGAACATAGACTGAAAATAATTATATGTTTAGATATAACATGAGTTACATTATGATATATTGGACTCATGCCTACTATTGAACTGTTGTAAGTCAGCGCTTCACTACTATTCCATATAATTATAACTGATGATGCAGACAAGGACGGTAAAGAGCGCTGACTTAGCTTAACAAAGTCCTATTATACATCATAGGTATATCTTAACCGTTAATATTAAACACAATATTACACATAGGAAATATATATAGGTAATATAATTTGTAAATAAAACAAATATCTGACAAATAACACAAAGGTTGCTTCCATTTGTAAGCAAACTTTTCCTACCAATCGGTGATATTAGAGGTTGCATTCTTAGATGAGCTGTCCAAAGGAGCACCCAACTAATGAATTTCTTGACACATACACATATTACTTACTAAATTTTTTATTTAATAAAAAAAGATAAGACTCATAAACAGCGCAACAATGGAAAAATATTAAAATATAATATAATATAAGACAATGACATTGAGAACCATAGACTATTATTGTTGTTGTTCATATTATTCGCTCGAGAGATTAGGCGAAGGAATTGAGCCATACAGCCTAAAACCACATACAAAATTAAAATTATAGCGTGGCCTCGAGTAAGAAAGGACGATAACGTAGTTTTAGGTTACACAATAATCTTTATGACTATTAAACATATTTAGATAAAATTTTTAATTGTTCTAAGGACTGAATTGAACAAAATTCACCAATCTTAAGCTCACAAAACTTCCTGACTTCTCACCTAAACCAACTTGTAAACTCAAAAAAGTGTAGTTTGCTGAACAAAAAAACCGGCACGGAGAAAGGGACAAACAATCACACCGCTCTGTCTCATTTCTATGCAAGACGTATGCATTAATCTATCTTTTTCGTGTGCGAATACGAAAGAAGTCAATTGTTATCGGGAGTTTTGGCGGGAACTTGGTCGACGACGGATTGTCGCTCTTGTTTTGTCGCTTGAATAATGGTTTGAAGTGGATTTTAATTCGTAAAAATGATTTAATTTTGTAAATTAAGTGTCTGCGCGTGTGAAATATTAGAGAAAACGACGAAACAATTGTTTTGATGTTGATATAAGCCTCAAGTTAATTTGATCGCTTGGGCGCTTTATGAACTTGAGCGGTTGTCATTATCAACAGTCCGCTGGGTTGAGCTGTCGTAAAAATATCCCAAAACTTCGCAATGTGACGCATCAACATATTATGAAGAAAAAAAATATATAAAATGAAGATTCTGAAAGAAATGTAACTTGAGGTCTATATCAACATCAAAACAATTGTTTTGTCGTTTTCTCTAATATTTCACACGCGCAGACGCTTAATTTACAAAATTAAATCATTTTTATGAATTAAAATCTACTTCAAACCATTATTCAAGCGACAAAACAAGAGCGACAGCCTGTCGTCGACCAAGTTCCCGCCAAAACTCCTGATAACCATTGACTTAGAAGTATATCATAGACGCATAAAAACATAATATGGATCTGGCATACCCACAGGAAAAAACGTGTATACCTACACTTTACTGAGAGGATAAAATTGTGGTTAATAGGGCAGCCCATATCAATATTTCTATAATAATAACATCGATTAAAGATTGTTAGAATGTTTTCATATAGCCACGGACATTCAGCATACTATCTGTGGGTAAAAACACCCCAAGTTTACTATCTTATTTATGCATTTTATCTAATAATAATAATAAAAATAATGAGTCCTTCGTAGATACAGTCGCCTCCCTCAACTGGCTACGTTTCGGTGACCTCTTCGGGGAAACGGAGGGTTTTGTCTGTGCAATACATATTGTTACGGCCCTCAGTTGCCCCGACAGAAGTCGACTGGGCTAGGGCCTATCAGTAACCCAACTCGACGAGCAACAGAGGTTTCGGGCCCAAATGGCCTATGGATAGTTATTATGTAATGCCTGAACAAACAAACACAAACTTACCAAGGTCCGGAGATAGGGTCAACCACAAGGTACCGTCAGGGACAAGTAAATGTTAGGTGTGAGTTGTGTAGGAAGGTGTGTAATGTAACCTGACGTCACCGATGTAGTCAGCAGTAGAACCACATGCGTTGCTCCGCTCCACACGGCGCAATCACTCCAGTGGGTGTTCGCCGCTATCTGAACTCAAGTCTAACGTCACTTAGCACAAACTATAATCGAACGCGAGATCCACCCGGGTCACAAAGTTTAGCGTTCCAACCGACAAAACAAAATTCCTTCATACGATATTAAAATACGACACAAGCCACGCGTCGACGCAAATAAATGGAATTCGAAGTTAAATTAGTCACTCAAACTCAAGGAAAGCCTCGTTGTCATATATGAACGAAAAAAGACAACTCAAAAGGAGGCAGTCTTAATGCGACGTAACGATTCTAACCTACACGGCCGTCGCGGACAAAGATTGATCTACACTTAACTTCCCAACCTCCAACCGGCACGGCCGTCGTGCACAAAGATTATTCCAGACTAACTTGCGCGGCCGCAGGTCGCAAAACGAATGCCCGCCGTGCAAACCGCTAAACCGGTTCCTCGCCTGAGAAGAGCGCCTTGCAAGTTTTAAGTGGTTATGATTTGGCCTAAACACATTTATAACAATAACAATAATAATGTTGCATGAATAAGTCAACTAGCGCCATCTAGTGTCAGGAACGAGAGCGAGGGGAGCATTGAGAAAATGACATCACAAATCGCTCAACTGACAGCGCCTAGTCGAAACTCGAACGCTCGGTACCTTCCGCGTGTTTACTTGAACATTCTGGATATTTATTTGCTAATTTAAATATATAGGCGCTGCAAGATGCGATGGAGGCAGTGTTGATTTGGGCGAAACAAGCGAAGCTTCGGAGTGGAATTAAGTGAATTAGTGTGTTTAAATTATTAGTGTTTTAACTTTAATTGTGTAAAGTAAATTAAAGTGTTAATTTAGGTAATTTTATCGGCAATTTTTATTGTCACGAACCTCAAGCTCGTAACAATTGGTGTCAGAAGTGGGATAAAATCATGCCGATTTTACCTAAGGAGGAAACGGAGGGTGTCCGTACCCGAAGTCAACGCCAGCAGGAGACGGACCAACGAAGATTTGGTGGTGCAACGCCGCAGACGTCGGAGGGCAAGCCACCGGCTGCAGGCCCGTTGGTAGCTCCTACATCTGCAGCACCTGACTTAGGTGCTCTGATGGTGATGCTGCAGGAGCAGGCTCGCCGACAGGAGGAGCAGGCCCGTCAGTTGAAAGAGCAGCTGCAAAGCGGACAAGAGGAACAAGCCCGCCGGCAGGAGGAACAGGCCCGCTGGCAGGAGGAACAGGCCCGTCGTTTAGAAGAGCAACTCCAACGCGATAAGGAAGAGCAGATGCTCCTCATGAAGGACCTTCACGCTATCTTCGGAAAAGAGATACGGGAGGTGAAGGATAAGGTTGCTCAACATGACAACCGCCTGTCGGAGGCCGAAACCCGAATCGACCAAGTAAACAATCGGGTTGACAACGTAATGGCTGACGTGAAGAAAACGCTGGACGACCTCAAACTTGGGGATGGAACAACAGCTCCCGTAGTAGCTACAACACCTTCGCTACGTGGATTCAAAGTGCCGCCGTTCGACGGTACCTCTTCCTGGTCAGCCTACAAGATCCAGTTCGAGGCTGTTATGAAGGCGAACGGCTGGAATGAAAGTCAGGCCATGACTGCTCTCACACTAGTCCTGCGCGACCAGGCCTTAACAGTTCTGGAAGCTCTCGGTGAGGAAGTGACTTATGAGCAACTCATTGAGGCATTGGAGGCGAGGTATGGCGACGCTCACCTGGAACACGTCTTTCGTGCGCAGCTTAAAGATCGCGTGCAGCGCATCAACGAAAACCTGCAGCAGTGGGCTCTAGAGGTGGAGAAGCTGGTGCGAAAGGCATACCGGTCTGTACCTGCGCTCATTGGAGGGAACCTGGTGCAGACATTCATCGACAGCATCCGTGACCTGGAAGTCAGAGCTGCTGTGAGGCTCGGGCACCATGAGACGCTTAAGGACGCCTTGGCCCATGCACTGGAGGTAGAAGCCGTGCGGCAGGATCATCGTTCCCATCGCGTCAGGGAGGTTGCAGCAGCTACAGTTCGCGACCGCAACAAAGGATACAGCCCTAGGTGCTATGGCTGTGGGGAAAAGGGCCATCTTCGATCCAGCTGCCCTAAGCGAACCCTAGAAAGGGAAGGTGAACGATCCCAGGAGGGTAGTGCGGCCAACAGCACCGCCCAGCAGCAGCAGGGAAACGAGAAAAAGCCAGAACTGCGGGGCGGGTGCTGGCTGATGTTAAAAGAGCCCCAAGGATCTCGATCTCACAAACCCATGATGGGAACAGTCTAATCATCAAGGGCGAGGTCAACGGAATGCCGTGTAAACTGACCATAGACACTGGAGCCTCTCGTACGGTTGTTAGTTCCCAACTTATAAGTCAGTTCCTTGGGGACTCCGCATACAACCTAGAACGCATTAATTTGGTAACAGCCACCGGTCAGCGTATACCCGTCCGTGGAGAGAAGGAGATGGAGTTGAAGCTAGGCAACGTGATCTACCTGCATAATGTCATCGTGGCTGATATAATGGACGACTGCATCCTAGGCTTAGACTTTATGAGGAATAATTGTTGCGAGATCGACGTTAAGCAAGGTGTTTTGAAATGTGGACAGGAGGAACTTTTTATGGAAGGTGCGTTACCAGGGAACGTGTACAGCATCAAGAAGATTGTTCTTCCGCCGAGATCGGAAACGATTGTTCCGGTTAGTCTTCCTCGAAACGCTGGGCAAGCTCACCGTTGTGTACTTGTGGAAAGGGTAAACAATGACCTTCCATGGAAAGTAGCTCGAACCTTGGTCAGGACCACTGACATCTCAGGAGTACGTGTGCTGAACCTTTGCGACCGGAAACAGATTATAGAAAAAGGCACACTGGTTGGTACTTGTGAGGAAGTGGATTGGTTACGTCAGTGCCAATATATATCGAGTGGGACCCCAGCAAGGATTCAGAAATGAGAGTGACCACACTTTTGGAAGACTGTCGCAGTGTTCTCTCCCCGAACGAATTGGTCAAGGCGAAGAAGTTGTTACTCAAGTTCGCTGATGTATTCTCGTCAAACGATGCTGACATAGGAAAGACTGGCTTAGTTCAACACAAAATAAACACAGGAGATGAATTGCCTATCCGTCAGCGGCCAAGACGATTGCCGGTAGCACGTGAAAAGGAAGTGGAAACCATGATTGAGGGAATGGTGAGGGATGGTGTTATTGAACCTTCATCTAGTCCATGGTGTTCACCCGTGGTACTGGTAAA